TATATATATATATTTCTCTGGCTTAGGCTTGTGATACATTCGGATTTATATTTTCTGCATAAACCAAGCTGGAGTTGAGAACAATGGGAGATTTTATTTGACTATTTTATTTGATTTTATTTTATATTCCAGACAGCACAAAGTGATTCAGAGAACACAACCTGGGTCACATCAGACTCAAAGTTAATGCTTGGTCCTTCACATTCTCTCTCTGTTCCATTTGTTTGTCCAAATCCATTTTGTTTCCCATCAGGGGCTCAGCCACTACAGGATGACTGCAAAATGTAAAAACTATGTGTCACGCTGCTGTTGAGTAACAGATTTGGACATAACAAGCTCTTCGAATTAAGGTAGAAGACTAGAAAAAGCAAGCAAATGAGCTAGCAGACCTAAAAACTTGCTTCATACTTGGACTGTACATCCCTCCTTCCACTCCTCTACAACCAACTTTACACCAAACCAATGTTCTACTTTCAGTGTTGATTTTTTTTAACATGCTATATTATAAAGTGTTGGAGTGAAGGATATGTTTCCAAAGTACTTAAACAAAGCCCAGGTTCCTCCTACTGTCTGCACAGGGTGATTGTGACAATGAGGTGTCAACAGTGCTGACTTGGGCCTCTCTGTATTTACACCTACATGTGATGGAGCATGGTGGAGAGGAGGTCAGCATGAAATGGAGGAAGGGAAGGATGGACGGAAGGGAGCAAGAAAGGTAAAGAAAAGCAACTGAGAAGACAGTTGATGACAATCAAATGAAGAGACAGCACAAACACACACATGCATGCACGCAGTCACACAGACAGGTATACGAGCACAGGTGCACACACTCACACGCCAACAGAGAATACACACAAGTCAAACTGCAGCTCTCGGATATGTCAGCAAAGAACACGTGTTCAAACAGGCTTTCACACAGACGTGCAGAACTGACATACAAAGAAATGAAGAGAAAAGATGGAAGGGTGATCGCTATTCTAGTAAGAAAATGGAGGATGACAAAAAGGGATGAGGTAAAGGACAAAGTAAGGTCCAAGAAAACTGAGAAAAAAAATTAAATGAAGAGAAACCTACTAAAGAAATCTTATCAGTATGCTACACAAGAGCCTGTATTTAGATCTGATAAAATCTAAATACCACTACAAAAGAACAACTCTACTTATGAAGAACAATTAGAAAACATTTCACAGAATATTTCTGCAAACAGGGAACCTGTAATATCTCATAAATAAGGAAGAAAGACAAGAAAGAGAAAACTGCCATTGAGAGAGAGAGAGAGAGAGAAAGGGGTGAGGAAAAACAGAGTGTACAGAGAGAGAAATCAGGACTTTTTGGAGACGTCAGGGGGCCAAACTTGTGACGTTGGAGCTGGAAATACTGTTACAGAAATAACCAGTTGACAACAATTTCAGCACCGAACAAAAGTGAGAGAAGAGGAAGAAGGAAAGCTAGAAAGATAGAGGCAAAAGGAACCGTTTCTTTATAAAACTACATTCTTAAAAAGAGCAGTGTGTTATAGGGCTTTTATACTCGAAGGTTTACAGTATTGCTGAAGCCACATGGAAGCCTTTTGTTAATGATAATGAATTCTATGGCAGTGAAATATATTTGTAGCATTTTCCAAAGTATGTAGAGACTCAAGAATGTATTAGAGAAGTACTACATTGTGTTGTTGTTCAGAGAATAGAAAGACACCTTTACAATAGAGATATTTACAACAGAGGCAAACCACAGTAACTACGCTTGACCTCAGTCACGGACAAGAAATAACACATTGTGCAGGAGGAGCTGTTATCTGCTCTCTAAACTTCAGGATGCATCCGTAGCTTCTGAGAATTATGCATAACAAACTCCTTGTTTTTTTAAAATCTGAGTCACTTATAAAAGTGTTGCATCTTTTGCATCAGGGCACATCAGACAGAGAGAGAACAGTTAGCTCCCTCCTGCACTGACAAACGACAAAAACAGTCTCTGGCCTGGGACCAGGAGTGGGTTGGGACCAGACCAGACAATACCAGAACTACACAGCCGTGGCAGGATTGGGTGCTGTTTGAAAGGGAGAATAAGAGCAAAGAACAGAGGACACATTGCACACAACACGAGTAGCGAGCGAGCCGGAGGGACACAACCATAGAGAGTCAAAATACTGCAGTCCACGTGCCGTGCAGCTGTGTGGCAGTGTGTGGGTGGTTGAGTGGGTGCAAGTGTGTGTTTCTGTGTCTCTGAATGAGTGTGTGAGTGTGTGCATGTATGCACGAATGCTTCTGTATGTGTGTACATGCGTTCGGCGGACTCACTCCCAGGGGCTGGGCTGGTATTGGCTGTTGCAGTGGAGAGAGCTACGTGAGAGGGGGTAGAGATAGTGTTTACGTCGTGGAGCTGACTGAGCACAGAGGAGCGCCGTCTCACCGCTCCCTGAAACGAACCGCTTCGCTTGAACGTGCTCACTACCTCCATCTGCAGGACAGAGATACAAACAGCATCATTCAGTAAGGGCAGGAAAGTCCAGTCTGAGTGTGTGCGTGTGTCTTTGGTCCTTTTAAAAGATTCTCCTGTCACAGACAGAGTACAAAATTCTCTGATTTCAGTGTATCATAACTGATTCATGAATATTACTAACAAAATCTGTGCGTCTACACACTACGCACTCAGACCAAACCCTCTTAATGAAAAACTCGCCACTTTATGCAAAGACAGGCACTTAAGCAGAGAGTCTGTGCTGGCTCTCTGACACTCCTTAGGAGGAGACTGCTGTCGCTTCCCTGTCTTAGTCCGCTCTCACACAAAGTTGTGCAAGAATCAATCAAAGCAATCAAGCGAATCAGTGGCCTGTCTAGTTGCATAAGCTTGCGTACAACATGTAAATACTCACTCCTGCACGCACAAACATATACACACACATACACTCACACCATTTATCTCCTGTTATGTTTCTGAGCATCTAAAATAGCACTCTCAAGGTAGAGAAGGCCATTGTGTGATTGTGACTTTGTGGAACAAAAAGGTTAGCTGTGTTGGGGAGAGAGAGAAAAACAAAATCCTGAATCATTATGTTTGGCACAATTCAGAAGAACACAACAGCATGGATGAGAGAGACTGACTTTTGAAGAGTAAGAACAAATCTAAAATTGTAACTCTCAAAGAAGAGTCAAATATGCAGCACTTTCTTTCCAAAAGTCTCTTTAGTTAGCGTGTGACGGCCATGATACTAACAGTTTATTTAGGCAGTAAGAACACTCCCATAGTAATGTGGATTTTATCATGCTGCACATGATTAAAGAAGTGCAGCTCTTTGTGATTACATACCACATCTTTTAAAGATTCCCCAATCTATCTGTAATTAACCTTAAACAAACTGCTTGTGGTCATGACCAAGTGAAGCTTCTGGCTGACATGTCTAGAAATCTGTTGGTGAGACTTTTGGTTAGGGCCTGGTTAAACAGTACCTGGGTCTGGATACGGTTGAGGCCTCTGAACCAGAGGATCTGTCCACGGCGCAGCTCTCTTTCTGCACAGTCGATCTCCTCCTCATCCTCTGCCAGCTCCTCCCCTTCCTCCTCCCCTGGTTCTAGTCCCAGTCCCGCCTCCTTCAAACACGGCAGTCGCTCTGCAGGAACTGTAGCGATCACCTGGAAGCCAGATTTGTAACAATGTTACTTGACCAGAACAAACCAGAGTGACAAAATAATGAGCAGCGTGTGTGCTTTTCCAACCTTAGTTCACATGCAGTGGTGTATTATTTAACTGTCAGTTTTAGCACAAAATAGCTCTGAAGTGTTCTCTCAGGCAGTGTGAATATATTTCCTTAGCCTCACCTTGGAAAAAACCAGGTCTGCCAGCCTACACTTGCTTAGTGTTGTTTGATTCAACAGGCTGAAGAGCTACTTACCTGCCCCCAGAGCAGCTCTCCAACTCCCACAAACAGACACCAAAGCCACTGCTCGATGTTGAGAGGAGCACAGCTGAAGGGTTTCCCTCCAAACTGCACAATCACAATCTGCAGTAGAAACACAGGAAAAGAACTCATTACACATATACACAAACAAAGCAGAAAGCAGTGCTACACCATGTAGCTCTGCTCTATCCATCACTAACTTTCACACTTCTTAGCATATGACACAAGTCCCATCATAGGGGCAGAGTTCTCATGCTGCCAAAACTTACAATCCCAACAAAAAGGGGAGTCCTAAGGGCTTAACACTGAGCCCCGAGCATGCCCAATTTCATCTAATCTCGCAAACTAATTAGGGTCGAGCTTGGTTAGTACATAGATGGGTGATTACCGTTGAATACCAGAGCCTATTTGAGTGGTTGTGGCTTAGAATGGGTCAGCAAACAAAGAAAGTTTGTGATTGATCCTTGGCTCCACAAATCTATATGCTGAAGTATCCTCAGGCAAAGTACTAAAGCAGAGGTTCGTACGGAATCAGCCATTGGTGTGTGTGTGAATGTGAATGTTGTTTTTTTCTACTCAGAGGACAATGTCTGAACATCAGGCTTTTCAATATGTTAGTGCTAACACTGATAAGTAAAAACCACAAATGATTATATTAAATAAAGGATGATATTACTTTCAGGTTGTGATTAATGTGGCAGAGGTATGTACACATACATATGAGGTCAGAATTACTAACCTCCCACCCAGAAAATGTCTGTTATTAATGTAACTCTCAGGTGTTGTTAAATGGAATAAGAGAATTTCAACACAGCCAAATATCCTAGTTTTATGTGGATGCTTATATTATTTTACTTTGAACACAGAAATACTTTTTTTTTCCACAAAAAGCAATCATTTGCCTATCCTTTTTGCTCAATAACAGCCCGCAGTCATTTGTTGTCTCACTCATGTCTCCTGATCAATTGTAAGGTAGACCCTACAGCAATACATACAGAAGAGATAGCTCTATGGCTAGAATTCTAGTTTCATCTCATCTTAACAATGGATGCATAATTGTTATGGCTGCCGTCGTGGGCTGGGGTTCTGACATGTAAATGTGAGTGTGCAGGTGCGCCTCCAGGAGTGGTGGATCCCGAAGATGGTGTGCCCGGATTGGATGCTGCTCTGGAGGCGGAGTAGAAGACGGTGCAGTTGAAGACGGCAATCCATCCATCCTCGGTTTTACCCCAATCGGCTGGGGCTACATCATGCCCTGTGTTGCTTTGTGAATCCAGGAGGAAGTTGGACACAGTTTTCTCATGTTTTGTTAGTCAGGAAGGTAAGTGATTGTTGTTTGGTTAATTTTCTCTGGGGCTAGGCAAGCAGTTGCTCCTCTGAGTTAGTTTCCTTTTCTTTGTTATTTTGGCGTGGGTCCACCCCAAAGCCTGAGTGACTCCTATGAAACCCATTTTTGTTTCGTTCCTGTAAATAAACCATTCCTTGATGGTGATGGTGATTCCTGATGGTGTGATGTGCTGCTTGGGGTTGAACTGGGGGTGGATCATTCCTCTTGCTGCGCTCGGGTCCCCTAGACCGGCCGTAACAATAATCTTTTCTCAAGGTTGTCAATAGTATGCTGCAGTCTAACTTGAACTCGTCTGCAGAAGTGGTTTTTCTTGGTCTTGTTAAAGGTAAACCTTGTTAGAGAAACCATAGTTGGCAAGCACAGCAGTAATGCATATCTTGTAGCTGATCACCAGGTTTGCACAGATCTTAAGAAGGATTCTGGGAAACGCTCCAAATTCCTTAGTTGTCTTGGCTGCCACTTGACAGCTTAAAGCTTCAGCTCCCTCCACAGCTTTTCTATAGGACTGAGGTCTGACTTCTAGATAGACCTTTATGTGGTTCTTCTTTAGCCACTCCTTTGTTGGCTTAGTGGTGTGTTTTAGGTTACTGTCATGCTAGAGATCCATTGCCCATTTCCAGTATTCTGGCTCAGGTAATTTGTCCTGTACGCTTAGCACAAATACAGCCCCAGAGCATAATAGTTCTACCTCTGTGCTTGAGTGTGGGGATGATGCTCTTTGGATCATAAAAGCATTTATATTGCTTCATTTGACCACAGCACTTTATTCCAAACCTTCTCTGAATCATTTAGATGGTTACTGGCAAATTTAACACAGGCGACTGTGGCTCAAGAGATGGCAGTTCGTCTTGTAATCAGAAGGTTGCCAGTTCGAGCCCCGGCTCCGACAGTCTCGGTTGTGGTGTCTTTGGGCAAGACTACTGGTGGCGCCAGTGTCCGGCAGCCCTGCCTCTGTCAGTGCGCCCCAGGGCAGCTGTGGCTACAATGTAGCTTGCCATCACCAGTGTGTGAATGGGTGGATGACTGAATGTAGTGTAAAGCGCTTTGGGGTCCACAGGGACTAAGTAAAGCACTATACAAATACAGGCCATTTACCATTTTTTTATATACATGTGCCTTCTTGAGCAGGAGGACCTTGTGGGTCTTGTCGCTGCAAGATTTCAATCCATTATGGTTTTTTCATCATTTGTCTCTGCTGTAGTAAATAGGCAAATATCCGAGTCGGCAAATAGGTTTGATAATAAATAATATCAACTCATTAATATACTGGCCTAAAATGTATAAGGGCATCTGCACCCAAAAGCCTGTATCAGGCCAGCTCTGATAAAATGTCCTTTATTTCAGGGTCACTGACTTTGTACAACACAAAAGACTGCAAGTGTTTTAGTCTTATTGCTGCAGGGAAAACACTCAACATTGACAAACAGAATATGTTCCTGTTGCAGTGTGCTGATTTAAACTAATGAGATTTGAGTCTAATGGAGTATATAGTCACGGAACACTTTAGTCATTGCTTGTATTTCCCAGATTTCTTTGAGTGTGGATTCTCCTGATTCCAAAAACAATCAACTGGAGAAGAGGCTTGCAGTTGCCCTTTACTGGGATATTGAGCTTTTTTGTTTGTTTGTTTTATATATAGAAACAGGAAAACATGGAGTGGGCTTTGAGAAGAGTGAGTGAAATCATATGACCTCCAGGTATGTGAAATATATTACTTTAACTTATTGCCAACCAACAGATGTACTGCTCTTGTGTAACCCTGCAAATATTTGTTGGTTTCTAAAAGCACACTTAGATCAAGTGACACGAGTTAAAACTTTGCGTGAACTCTGAATTCTTCTACAAGTACAACCTCTTCTACTTTTTCCAGATTATCTGTGATACAGATAAAAACATCAACATTACATAATCATACAATGCTGCTCTTAAAACTGGATTTTACCACTATGTGGAAACTTCTGGACCCCTGGAGATCTGTGACCCCTGGGCAGATTCATCTTTGGTAACTCAGACTTGATTGTAAGCTGGGAACAGGGAATCTCTGCCATATTAGGCAGAGCAGTCAGTCTGCCCCAACTTACATTACTGTGTAGAAATATGTATATAATGTATAGAACTAAACTTTAAGAGTAATTATTCCAAAAACAATATATGTGGCTTGCTGAAACCACTTCTTTAAGCTCAAAGTAAAGCAGCACTCTTATGTCCTCTAAGGTCTACATGCCTCAGTGGATGTACCAACAGCACTTGATCATTTACACCTGGAACAAGGCTTATCAGTGACACTGCCATCTTTGGACCAACCCAGAGAATCAGAAATCACACTGTGAATACGACCCATCCTCTCACATATAATATCATTTTGTAGCTTTCTTACTTATTTCTTCCTCTTTCACCTCTCTCAAGCTGCTTCCACTCTTCAGATCTCTCTGATTTTTTTATACAAATCTGTTTTTTTATCACTATTATACCCCAAATCCCTGCTGCTCCCCTCAAGCCCCCTCTTCTCTTGTTTTTCTCTACCCAGGGTAACAACAAGCACCGTAGAGTTCTGAAAATATTCTTCTTCTTTCTTCCCTCCTCTCAGTCTCTCTTTCTTTTCTTGTCTGTATTTCTGTGTACACAGAGTTCCTTTCTCATTGCATTGCTAATGTGTTCAGCATGAGTCAATTGATCCAAATATGGACTGAATCTATAAAAGTGACCAAAACAACAAAATAAATGACTAAAATATAAAACCCAGTTACAGTTTTACTTCTTTTAGGAGCATTACTTTTTCCCCCAAACGAAACTATGTTGTAACCCTTTACCAAACTGTTGAGAAGAGACATTCATTTATGTCTCACTATAAATAATTATGATACAAAAAAAAAAGTATTTAGAGTTCTGGATATGGAAATGTTAAAATAAATGACATGTCAGTGACATGCCATCTATGTAATGAAGTTCCAGTAAAAAAAAAAAAACGTGTTTTGTAGACTATGAGCTTCCATTGCTAGTCTTGCATCTTAGAATAGAACTTAACTGAACCAAATGCAAATGGTCATTTTTAATAGAATTAATCCCTCATACGGTTATTATAAAGGTGAGAACCTTAGCCATAAATCCAACCTAAGCTATTTTTGTAGCATGCTGTAAACACTTTAATTTCATGGACTTAAGTGTGACATTTTAACACTGGAGTCTGTGACGTTTGATTCACTCTTGAAACAGCCACAAGTGGTCATTGGAGGAATTAGTTTTTGGCACTTGAATAACACAGTATGCTGTACCACAAGAAAGACAAAACATCAGCGGCTCAAAATTTCCTCTATGAAATACTAAAAGGTGTTAAAGGATTAACCTGACCTGCACAGCAAAAGTTCCCAAAACAATGGAGCAGAAGATTGGGTTAGAAAATATGCCATCAAAAACATTTCTCTCTCCATGGATTTTGCGAGCATTGATCTCGTTGAAAAGCTGCATGAGGACAAAGGTGTTGAAGATAATGGTGTAGTGCTCAGAGGGCGGGGAGTGAAGCGGAGCATTACGACCACTGTCAATGTTGAACATTCGTTCCCCTGGAGAGCACAGAAAAAAAGAAGAAATAAAAGAACATTCAGACTTGGTCTTAGGGGTAAGATTGTAGACAGGTTTAGGTTAGGGCTAGCATGGCCAATTAATTCAGGATGTTACCATGCTGCCAAAAAACAATTTTAAGTACATAAAGTCACAAAGAAAGGTGCAGTTGAGTGTGTTATATTATTCTAAATTTTTTCTAAGGTTTTCTTCCATATTCCCCAACCCTACTTCTGAACTCGCTAGTCCTCTGTGCAACACAATATTTTACCTCAATGATATAACACACTGTTGGCATTAAAGAAATTGTCCTGCAAACATTGGAATCATATTTATTTGATAGATTCCAAACTGAGCATGTAAATGGGGAATTTTCTTCACACATAAAAGTTATAGAGTTCCACAGGGTTCTGTGCTGGGACTAATATTGTTTCACTTAGACAATATTATTAGAAAAAATTATAAATTTTCATTCTTTCTCCATGAAACCAGATGATACAAATCAGCTAGTAAAACTACAGGTATGTCTTAAAGCCCTAAATGCCTGAATTTACTTCTTTAAAAAAACTGAATGGCAATGGGCCTAGAAAGAAAGACCATGTATTAGCTTATGCAGTGGCTCCTTTTTAAATCCAGAATTGAATTTAAAATCCTTTTCCTCGTAAATTTTTTTTTAACTAGTCATACTTTAAAGAACTCATAGTACATTATTATCCAATCAAAGCACTCAGAATGCACGCTTACTTGTAGTTCCTAGAATTTTTAAAAGTACAAAGGAAGACAGAGCCTTTAGTTTAGGCTCCTGTGGAATCCAGTTTGGATGTGGAAGAAATACACTCTCTCTAATTTTCTGATGAGAAACTTGCCTTTTTGATAAAAAGTTATTGTTAGGTGACATGATAGGTGTCCTTTGTGTCTCTCTGTTCTCTTCCCTTTCCCCTCACCCTTAACTGGCCATGGTAAATGATCGCCCCACCCTGACCCTGGTTCTTCAAGAGGTTGCTTCCCGTTAAAAGGCAGTTTTTCCTTCCCATCAAATGTTTCCTAACAGGGGATCTTCAGACTGTTGCTATTTCTTTCTAATATTGTCGTACATATTAGCCTACAATACAAAGTGTTTTTAGGTGACTACTGTCGTATATTGGGAATATAGAAATAAAATGGAATTGAATTGATTAAGGTTAGCATAAAGGGAAGGAGAATACATTATACCCTTAAGTATCCTGAGCCTGTGTATCAACCAGTACTCAATCTGAGTATATAGCCTGTATGTGTGTTTATTTTTAAGTGTATTTCTGTACCTATGAACAGCAGGGTAAAGATGATGACCAGCTGGTACACTCCATGGCCCAGGATGTTCTTCATCATGGTCAGTGAAATGAGCGGGTTGTTCCGGCCATAAGGCTTTCGTAGCAACAGGGCCTCAGTGGGGGGCTCGGTAGCAAGGGCCAGAGAAGCAAACGTGTCCATGATCAGATTCACCCACAGCATCTGCACCGCCTTCAGGGGAGAGTCCTGCAGAGAGATTTGCAACCATGGGTTGGTATCACAAATCATGCATAAAGTTCTCCTGCAGTAATTTATTTCTTCTACAGTTGGAATTACTAATTATTTTATTAATTGACTATGTGTGTCTGTATGGTAAAAGTAATCCAAAAGTGACTGTAAGGTTGCTGCGGACAGACTGTCTGCAGTTAAATTAGTTTTGTATTTTCCATTTGTTTTTATTTAGTTTAACATTTTTATCTTCAGTTAATTTCAGAGTAGGTTTACTAATTTAACTTTTGTTTTTATATGTGTGTGTAGGTTCTCGGTCATTCTGTCATGAATCGCTGTGCGGTAGGCAGGAGTTGGACCCAAAATGCAGGCACTCAGGCACGAGGTTTAAACACAAAGAACTCAGCTTTATTTGCTGGCAGGTGTTAGGATGCCTGGGTCGTTGACCCAGGGTTTTTGAGTTTATTATATTATTTATAATTTCTAATCTTGGGTTTCTTTGTTAGAGTTCTCTTTTATGGTTTATGTCTCTGTGCATCCTTAGTTGCTGTCTCCCCTGTCTGCGATATCCCCGTGTCCAGTCAGTGTCTGTGTCTGTCCTGGTCCCACGTCTCTGTTCCCTCTGTTGCAGTGCCTGCGTGTTAGTCTGTGTCTTTAGTTCAGTCTGTGTTATGTTTCCTGTTTTATTTTGAAGGTCCATGTCTGATGTAAATGTATCTGGTTTCGCTTCCCCTTGTCTCGTTAGGCCTGATTTGCCCCAGCTGTGTTTCCCTCCTGTTACCCATTCCCTGATTGCTCCCTCTGTGTATTTAAGCCCTGTGTTTCACTGTGTCCGTGTCATGATCTACCCTCATTCATGCTGTGTGTTCTGCCTGCCCGCCCGGGCTATAGGTTGACTGACTGACTGAGTAGTAGCCTGAATGGCTGGGTGTAGTGATGGCTGTGGTGGAAGAGAAGCAGCTGGTAGTGTGGATGATGGAGCTAAGGGCGACTGAGTGGCAGACCGAACTGATGACTGAAGCGATGGTAGAGGTGAAAATGGAGCTTGTGGTGGAGTTAATGATTGTGCTAGCGGGGACACAGGAGACGCAGCTAAGAGAGCTTCAGGAGGCTGAGCAGCTAAGAGAGCTTCAGGCTGCTGAGCAGATTCACATTACTATCCGTAGCACAAAACACAACCCCTGAATGAATAGTCCCACGGTTCGACACAGAAAAAGAGAGTTTGAGAGTGAGGAGAGAAAGTCAGGAGAGAATGGAACCAGCTAAGAAGAGGATGTCCTCCCCTGTTATGAACATTTTGATTTTATTTCTCCCAACAAGCTATGTAAATTCCTACAGAAGATGTATTTTCATAATACTGATGGTGCAATACAATTTATGTTAAGCGGCTTTACTTTTGTACAAGGTGAAGTGTTTGCTATGTGCCAGGGAGCTGGGATATAACAACAACACCTCATCCATGCTTAGGCACTACAGAGCTTT